GTAGGAAATGATTTTCTAAATTGGACAGAAGTTGCTCAGGAATTAAAGTCAGGAATCAACAAGTGGGACCTCATTAAACTAAAAAGCTTCTGTACAGCAAAAGAATCAAAAAAGTGAAGAGAAAACCCAGAGAATGGGAAAAAATCTTCACCAGTGACACATGTGACAGAGGTATAACATCCTGAATATATAAAGAACTCAAAAAACAAAGAATTGAGAAACCAAATGACTCAATTAAAAGATCTACATGGCACATGGCAATTAAAAGTACCAGACTGCTGGAACTAACATTCTTGGATATTTAACAGCCATACTTTGAGGCCTATACTAATTTGGTCAGAGGGGCATAAAGGACATATTTTGCTCCTTGCCCTCCAAGGTCGACTAAGTTCCAGGGGACTATGAGCATCTCTCAAAATGTCCTGTAACTGCAGTGAGTCACCTGTCCTCTTGATCAAGGAGGCCATGGAGACTCCATCAAATGGACTTGAACCAGTGCCCAGTCTACAAAGAGGAGGGTCAACTGGAGAAACTTTTCCTCCATGCTTCCAAGTGAAGCCAGCCATGGTCAAGCAGGACATTTGACTTATCTTCACATAGATGGAACTGGTAAAAGAAAGGAGCCAGGGGTTCTTCCCAAGCCCATGTTACCCCTGAGGAACAGATCCTCAAATGGCCTTAAGAATAAAAATAAATTGGTTTATCTGGGCCGACTGTATGATCTTAAACAATCAAAAGGAAAGTATAACCAAAGATTAAAGGGCTCAATATAATTTCTTAAGAATCCATGTGTGTAGCTAAAGGCTACATAATAAGAAACAATGCCAGACAGGAGATACCTTCCTTTGAGTTGTTGGCCAGGGTGACCCAAGAGACTCCCAGACAGTAACCCAGCATAGAACTGGGAAAATGAACAGCAGACCCCAATCTTATCTAAAGGAGTATTGACAACTGATTGCTGCTAGATGAGGAACAGCTGATCTTCCTAAAACAAGGATCTCTAGATAGGCTGACTAGATTCAGCATATGGACAAGCACTGAGGAATGGCTGGGGGCCCTGACAACACAGTGGACAGTAACAGGGATGACATAGTATATGGGCTCCAGGGGGTCAGGGGGGAGGCTATGAGAGGGTGCCATTTGGAAAGTGGGTATATAGATGAATAAGATTGTTTGGGATGTTCTTTATGATATACACACACAAAACAATCAACAAATAAAAAATGAGTTATATTTGAGGAAGAAGTATAAAAATTTACTTCATGTTAGTCAGTAGAGGTGATAAACATTATCATTGAAATCTACCTGATGACTTGATAGCCATACTCAGGTGCCAAGGATCTGAGTGTAACCATCTGTGACTAATAATAATCAGATACATAGAGATTAGAGATGCATGTACAAACATCTAAGTGTTAGTAGCATTAAAAATTAGTCTTTCTGTAGGAAACAGTATATTTTAAAATGAAATGGAGATTTTTAAAAAAAGTTAAAACCTCACTCAATTCTATGTTTTATAGGGTTTATACTGAGTTCAATATTGTATTAACTGTATTAATTCAACTGTGAACCTAAAAATTTACAGCCACTTTTGAAAGCTGTATCTTTGCTCTGGAAATTGTTGAATATGTTAAAGCTGTAATGAAATGCTTCTTCTAATCATGTGGTTATTAAATAAATAAATAATTTTTTAAAAAGATGGGCTAAAGATCTAAACAGAGAGTTCTCAAAAGAAGAAATAAAGATGGCTAAGAAATGAAACATCTCAAAAATTGTTTAATATCATTAGTAATTAGGGAAATGAAATTAAAACCACCCTAAGTATCACCTTATCCCAATCAGACAGGCTAGGATCAAGAAAACAAATGATACCAAATGCTGGCAAGAATGTGGAGAAAGGAGAACGCTCATTCACTGTTGTTGGGATTGCAAAGTCATGCAACACCTATGGAAAACAGTGTAGAGAACTCTTAAAAAACTAAAAATGAACCTACCATATGATCCGGTTATACCGCTCCTTGGCATATACCCTAAGGACTCATCCTATTGTAGAGACACTTGTACAACCATGTTTGTTGCTGCTCTTTTCACAATAGCTAAGAGATGGAAGCAACCTAAGTGCCCCTCAGCTGACGAGTGGTTAACAAAAATGTAGTATATTTACACAATAGAGTTCTATTCGGCAGTAAAGCAAGATGAAATAATGAAATTTGCAGGTAAAAGGATGGATCTAGAAACTGTTATACTAAGTGAAGTAACATAGACTCAGAAAAACAAATGATATATGTTCTCCCTCATATATGGATCCTAGCACCAAATCCTTTTAAATTCCAGGTCCTTTTAATATGATGCTATACAGAAGTCTCTTCTGCATGAAATAACTACCATCATCACAACTTCACCTGAGCCTGATCACTAAACGCCATCACAACTGGGCTTGTTGACGGTTGTGTTCATTCATTAAAGAAGGGTCAAGCAGGGTCATTGGACCCTCACCGGAGTATCCAGCCACTCTTCCCAGCCAACTGTATGTAATTTGGCCCTAATCACACTTGGTCTCCTGGATTTGGGGAGAGCTAAAGTACACAATCTGGGGAAGGCTTGAAGAGAAGGCATAACCCATATTGGGTAAAGGCTTTCCAGTGTGCATACCCTCAGGTCATACATATACCTCAGCAACCCCTCAGTTATCTTGGTTAGTAAGCTCAGTTAATTCGTTGATTCCCCAGTGAAACTTTAACCCAATATTGGCTTGACACTAAAACCTTAAAAGGGAGTAAGCATTGCTTAGTATCCCCAGGAAAAGAATTCTCACAACAGATGGAAAATTTATTTGTTAATGCTATTATGTCTCATAATTATTTTAAAAAAGAAAGAAAATGAGAATGTAAAAGACGTTAAAAGCATATGGGAATGGAGGTAATTTCCAAAATAGAAAAAATGAGACAGCCTAAGCAAGCGATGAAGGTCTG